ACAAAAGCATATTTATTATTAACTATTGGTAACTATAAAAATATTTGTAAAAAACAATAATTTGAATATTATGTTTTTTAATTCATTAAAAATTTTGTTTAAAAAATATGATTTTCCTTCACGGTGATATTTTTTATCCGAGTGAATACTTTGCAATAGATTCGGATTATTTATTAAAATGTCGTGAAATTTCTCACATGAATCAAATTATATTTTACCCTTAATACAGATTTTAAAGTTTTTATGTTCAACTGCGTTTTTTTCAATTGTCCATATTTTATTAATACTAGAAAAAACACGTCTTGTTGTTGCATTTGTTCCTGGAAGGGACAGCGCATGTTATACAATTTTCAAAATATTTTCATAAGGAATATTATTCTGTTTAAAATAGAGGAATAACTCCGTCCATTTTTTGTCCGTTTCCACATTTGCAGACAACCAACATTTAATTTTTTCTTCCGTAACGTATCTTTTTACCAATGACACTTTATCAAAAAGATCATTTTCGCAAATATTATTTTTCGGAAAATGGTTACTAATATATTGAAAAGATTTTTCCACATATTCCCATAAAATCTCCTTTTTTAATGTCACCCAATTCTTTCATATTTGATTTTTGCGTTTTCACATAAATCCTTCAATTTGCATGTGCACTTTCAATATGCACAATACCTTTTCTTTTTATATATAAGCGGCAAAAGTGTGTGTCGCCGATAGTTTATTGTTGCCACTCGGAAAAATGAGCGCGGAAATTAACGTTTCCGCAGTTTTCAATTAATATCTCAACCGATTGAGATACTACGAAGATGAGAACGGTATCGATGGATTCGGAGAATTTTTTGAAATCCGAGGATACGCGTCTCGAATTTCAACTCGGTGCCGTTCCGTATATATTCGAGAAAAGGTTTTGGCACGTAGCCAAATCCTTCTCATATAGAAAATCCAAGAAAGAAAGTGGAAAATGTAGGGAAAACGTAGAGGAAAATCAGTTTTAATTAATATCTCGGCTAATTAAAGTGAAGACGCGAATGGTCAAAATGGCGTGCCACGGACCTGCGGAAACCAGCGGTGTGCTTCGCTAAGCCTGGGAGCCAACCGTTTAGGAGATGATGTTACTTCACCCCATATATACATATGCGGCTTAAGTGTCTCTTTGTCGCCAATAGTTTATTGGTTGCTTGCGTAACTGTACTAGCCAATGGGGTGAAATTGCCACAGCACAGGATTGCCGTTTCAATTGAGACGTAGACAATTTCCTGTAAAACTTACCTTTGCTATGACCATCCATAAGTCTCAGGTCCAAACGCTTAAGCGTGTTGGCATTTTTTTACCTGAGCCTGCATTTGGACACGGTAAACTTTATGTTGCCTGTTCAAGAGTTCGTGAAAGAACGGACGTAAAATTAAAAATATTGGATGGTCCTCTGCAAGGCGAGCTTAAAAATGATGGAAAGATCTACACAAGAAATGTGTACAAAGAGATCTTTGACATATGAATTAACATTTCATTATTTTAAATCACCTTTATTGATTGAGCTAGCGGTGGGCTCTTAAGAAATGTACCGCCAGTAGTTTCCTTCACTGTACTCTACTTTAAGCAATTAAAAGGGGTAAACCCCGTGGGGCAGTAAGCAAAGGGGCGTCCTCGCCGCCTGCCCTGGTTAATTCAGGCACCTTTGCACAAATCATTTTAATTACAATTTATAATATCCAGAACAGCGGTCATTTCGTATGACCGCCGGGCTTTCTACTATATATATATATAAATACAAATAAATTTTTGCAATAATATTTTCAAGATCCACTGGAAGTAAGTCAGATGCTGTTTGAATAGTATTGTGTAGAATGTGCGCTGCACAACCTACTCCAATAATTTTTTGGTTCAAATGTTCGTTAAGTTTCGTAAAACGTTATTGATGCCTCTTTCTAGCTTTTCCCCAAAATTTTCATTAGTACTATCCTCACCATAGGCAATAATTTTATTGTTCAGTTTTTTTTTAAAATACGTAGTACTTATTGAATTAAAAAATATTTATGAAGTTTCACCTGGCAATAAAATAAAATCTAATATTCTAATTTTAATTTCTGTTTCTGGATCAAAAAGTCTAACAATTGTAGGAAATAATTTTAAATATTTGTGGTTGGAAGTATCATAATATATGAATATAAATGTGCATTTATTTGCAATTGTGAAAACTTATATAGTGAAAAAACATTATAAGTAATTGATCTGGTTTTTGTCCTTGCACATGCAAATTTTTTGTCGTATAATGTCTTGATCATTTGTGACGTACAATCAATTGATCTGAAATTTTGATTGTGGTTTATAGTGAGGAAAGCAAATAGCCCTTCAGCTAATGCTAGCTGCTCCTCCGTTAACAACACATATTCCTTAACGACAGAGTCGTAGCTAGGGTTTTCAGCGCCCAGGGATAACTGAAGATTTCGCGCCCCCTACTGCTTGCCAAGGATGGAAAACATTTAATTCTAAAATGTCGTAACATCAGTTTGACGCCACTTGGATTCTGCGCCCGGGGACAGATGCCCCCCCTCTAGCTACGCCCCTGCTTGACGAAATGTAACAACAATGATCGAACACAACCGAGTAAATCTAACTCGTTATATTGCCTAATTTAGTTCACTCTGCATGCATTTTTTATTTCTTTATATTTATTATAATAATTAATAAATGATAGTTAATATATTTTTACAGTGCATTTAAAATAAGAAATGCAGTTGTTTTCTAAAAAGAGGGACATTTTTAAAAATCGGCGGTACACGGACAGTCCTCCAAAAAGCGGGACTGTCCCGCCAAATTCGGGAAGTGTGGTCACTTTAATCTAAAACCATACTACAGATTTCACCGTCTGTTAATTAACTGATAATTGGGGCATTGTCATAGCAATGAAAAAGTTCTGTTAACTCTTCTTCCCTAAATTCTGCCGCTGATTCTAGCTGCATGTGAATAACATATCAGTTATTCTTAATTCAAATAGCGCTAAATGTAACCATTTTGTCTATGAGTATCATTAACAAAATCTATTTTTAGCGTATGGAAAGAAATTTTTGTTAAATCTTTTCTCGTCAACATTTCTTAGTGCATTTAGCTTAAATCTGTAATCGGATAATACTCTTTGTTATTCAATTACTAATATAAAAATTGTTCAGGCGTCGTTGCATGAGTCACCACTCAAGTTGTCATGTGTTGATAAACATGCGGTGATGAAATCAAAATAGAATAAATGATGATTCGCCAGGTTGGCGTCAAGGATATAAAATATTAGTTGGCGTAAAATCAGCGATGTTTCCATGTAGAATGTTTCAGTTTTAGATGCATCCTAAGCAGATACGCAACTACTATAAATGCTAACAAATGCTACTATAAATGCCAACAAGACTCAAATTACTGAACACACAAATTTATGCTAAAATGATTATTTCTTCAACAATGAGGTATTTTATTTATTGCCGAAGTGAGATTAAGAATCAGGAGTATCTGCATGTTTTATTATAAGCAAGATAAAAAATCAAATATGCATGCATAAAAGCATAAAAGAATCGCATTACACAGTCTATTCAACATAAAAAATCCCAGATGTTGATATGAAAATTCCAAAAAAGCTAGTTATCACTGATAAACTTTCAGTACATTGTTGGACACATTTCCATAACCTTTAAAATGCCACTAGATGCAAAAGCTAAAGCACATATTTCACCTACCATATAAATCAGACAGCTTGTTGAAGTGCAGCAACCCATGCATATTAAGTATTAAAAGACATTTAGGAATTGCTGCTTTCAGTTCATTTGATTTCTTTGATTCAGCAATTTTATGCAATTTAAGGTCTCAAAGTAATGTCAGTACAAACAGCAAAGTGAACCTAACAACGGCATTCAATGTAAATAACTTGTGTAATTAACTACAAGATTACCTAAGCAGTGACAGAATTTCGAACACACACTTACAAATCAGGATCTAACCTCAGTCTAAAGTATTCTGAGCAAAACCAGCATTGGGACTGTTAACACTTTTTTCGTCAATTGGCAGGGCAGAGGAATGCAAGTCAAACTCTACTACTCTTATTCGTAAATTGCTAAACTTTACAGTAAAATTGCTTCGACAGTAGTCTGCTGCTTACAGTAAAACTGCAAAACATTATGGAGATCAGGGTTACAAAAAAGAGTGCAAAGGGAGGCAGAAGTTGGCCATCTTTGATTTATAACATCATTTATTGATGTTCATGGGGTTATGTAATAGTTCTTACGTACATAAATAAATCTTTTTATACCATTAACAACTATTTACTTCATCTGTATATTTCCTATGGTAGTTTAATATTCAATAGGCCAGTTGGTGTTTTATCTACATTTTACTGCACCTTGCAAGTAAAAAGAAGGGGGGGGGGCAATTACAATTTTTTGTTATACCTACAACCATGATGATATTTCCTGTCTTGAAATTACCTACAGAATCTGGATATCATATTTGAACTTGCATGTAAAAATAAATAATTTTTTATGTGACATAAAGTTCTATCTATATAATAATCATTTTACTTTTGCTATTTAAATGTTCCAATTTTCAAATTACTCAAATCTTAAAGAAAAACCTTCAAGATTTTGAAAAGATTAAAGAAAAGGAAAGCAAATATTTTCCCTTACGAAATTTAATAAACACATTTTTTTAACCCAACTTCTTTTAATTTTTATTTACACATAACTGACTCCTTAGCATTTATTAGTACAAACCAAGACAAAAAGTAAACCCAAGTTTACTTTCATAAAATAAATTACTCTATTCATTTTCCAGAATATTTTATACACAGACTTTCTTTGCAAACCTAATATATTGTAAAGCATATTTAAAAACTAATTGAAAAATTTTCAGTTTTCCTTCAGTTTTTGTGTATAAATTTAATTAATGTAATATTTTATTAATGGCTATATATTTTTAGTGTGATTTATGAAGAAAAGGCAAAATCTAATATGCAAGAAAAAATAATTTATTTGGAATTCTATGCATTTAAATAGAAAAATATATATAACTTTTGAATACAGTATGTACAGTATATTTACAATTACATCCTTGGAAATTATAACAAAATTTTCCATAGCACAATTTAGGAAAATAATAAAATTAAACCAATATATTTTTTTAAAAGGTATACAATTCAAAAACATAAATACTTTATTACACTACTTAATTTATGTGAAATATTTTGGAAATGCAGTAAATATTTTTCATATGAAAAATAATGAAAAATACACATTAAAAATACTGAGTTCACAGATAAAAATTTTTTAATTCATTCATCAGACAGATACCATATTTACTCTCATATCCCCCCCCTTAGCTTTAAGCACAAAGTTCTGAACATTTTTTAAGCATTCATGTAATTTCCCCTTCTTTAAGGCATTTAGAAAGCGACACTAAATTTTAAATTGGTTAAGTCAGTGTGGTGCTTTTTTTAGTTTTACTGATTAATTTGCTCATGGAATTTGGGTGCATAGGTTCTGATTGATACAGCAGTAACAATGAAGATCTTCAAGAAAACAGTGATAGCTAATGCTTTAGATGGCTCTGATGTTCACTAGACTGAATGGTGATGAAGATGATCACAATGGTGACAGCTCACTGACGACTAAGACAGCAGTTCCAGCAGCACTAAACAATTTGAAGGCCTAAGAGTAGGTAGGAAACAATAAAGAGTAGGCAAGATTCAGAATACAGGGAAGTAGAAATGAAGATATCTTATTTGATATTGAAATGTTAATATTACTATTGAAATGTAGGTTTCTTTTAAATAAATGTGTGATAGTTACTGGTAGTTTATCCATGAATACTTTTCATTAGTTATGTTCTTACTGTAACTATATCCTTTAGAAATCAAATTATTCATGCAATTTTTTCCTCTCGATTTTTACGCCACAAAATCAGCAAAAAAAGTGGGGAAAATACACAAGTAAATATGGTAACTATTAAATAATTAGGTAAAAAAAAAAAAAAAATCACATTTTTGTCAAGAAGCTGGATGGAAAGATATCTCACTTTTAAAGTACTGTTTGATAGCAACAGCCTTACGACTAGATATGCAACCCACTTTTTTAAGTTGATCAACAGAGCTTTCAGCAAATAATTTAATGCTAGGAAAATGGTAAACAAAATTGAGAGCACATATTGGACTAACATGAGGAAAACTTTGATAGAAATTGAATAATTTTTGACTAGAGTCATTTAAAGAAACTGGTATATCAATATGTTGGTTTCTTTTCTTTTCCATCTGAATTAAACTAAACAACAAATCAGCAGAGTGCTCTGCTGAATTTGAGCACAGCATTTTGATTGAAGGAATGTAGTTGAGGCTGAGGGCAAACTGCAGATATTTTGTGGTGTTTTTATTGAAACTTAAGTTCTGTTTACGAATATCCTTTTCAATTATTACAAACACATTTTCATACAAGTCACACATAGCCCGAATTCTGTCAACAATTTTTTGAGGAACGTGACCACTTGTGAATTCAGAATCCAAAATTCGCTTGATAACAATTTTATTGCTAATAATATAATCTGCAAATGACAGCTGCATTACAATACAATTCACATCATGCTTATTTCGAAGTACCGAAATGAGTGGTTTTCCTCCAGCAAGTTCCTTAGAATCAACCAAAATAGACATTCTCCTTGAACACTTACTATTTTCATTGTGCAGTACGGAAACAAAATTTGGCTCTGATTTTGGATCTGCATGAGTGAAATAAGGTATACTAAAATCTTCATTCCACCCAATATCAAAAGAAATAGCAGGTTCACGTTCTACACTTGCAGATGAAATGCCAAGTTCTTGTCCTGGAAGTTTTTGTCTTATATCAGTCTGAGATTCAATTTTGGAATTTTTAACACCATTATCTGATGCATTGTTCACATATTTAATTGCACTAACTTCTTTGTTTGTATTTGACAGCATAAAATCAGACACGTCGGAATCATTTAAGACAGCTCTTCTATTAGTATGAGATGCTACAGTTAAATTTTTATTTTCACTGTCACAGACACTTGTGATATGTTTGATATCATTGTTTACTAATTCTTTGGAGCTATCAGATATTTCCTTACTAGATATATTTGATTTTAGTTCCATAGATTTAATATCTAATTTATTAAAAATTTCTTCTTCACTTGAACTACTAGAAGGCCTAGAAATTATACGTCTTAACTTTCTTTTTGAATTTTTCTTCTTTTTACACCTCTTACTTCCTTTCTGCTCAACATTATCATCAGAACTAATAAAACTTACTTCATTATCATCAACACAAAAACTATCAATCAAATAAGTGGAACAACCATTTGCTAGTGACTGGGAAATATAATCATCATGATGTGAAGAAAATTTAAGTTTATACTTTTGAGGTAAACCTGCACAGTCCTTAACAGATTCCAAATATATGTCACGAGGATCAGTTTGGTTATCTTCCAAGAGTGTACAGTCATCAATAAAACTTTCTTCAAAACCATCTGTCTCAACATCTGTATGATCATCATCAGATAAATGAATACCAGATACATCAGCCTGAGAAAGCACAAAATGATTTTTCTGTTTCCTTTTCTTTTTTCTATGTAGTACTTCGACAGAAGAGTCACACTGCTTATCACTCACTAAATTTTCTTTTCCAGTCTGAACCTGTTTCATTATTTTAAAATCTTCATCTGAATCTTGATCATCACATAGATTAATTATGGGCAGATTTGCTTTATATTCATTTTTTGATTCTGTAGTTCTTTTTAATTTATTTCTTGATAATATTTTGTGTTTTTCCCCCTGTTTTGGTATCTCAACTACCTGAATGGCATTCTCTAAACTTGCAGAGGAAACTAAAGACTTGTGTTTATCTCTTTCTGAAAATTGATTTAATTCAAGATCATCAGTGATTAAATCTGCACTGCAGTTTATTTGCTGTATTTTGGAACCACACACAAGATCATTTTTTGATATATCAGCTTTTCTCTTTTCAATTGATAAGAGACTGTCACTTTCATTTCTTAGCCACATATCATTATCAAAGCCAAAACTGTGATCTTGCAGATTTTGAGAAAATTTTAAGTCAGGGACCTTTAAAATATAATTTTCTAGTACATTTTCTGAAGGATAATTGTTCTGAGTTATTGGTAAATCAAAGGATATATCAAAACATAATTTCTGAGAGGATGTTAATTCTGAAAAGCTATCAGTCTTTTGTTCATTAAAACAGAGACTTTTAACAGAATCCTTTCTTTCTGAGGTTGATTTATTTTCTTTGTTATTTTCATCTAAAGGCAAAAATTGTGAATGAGAAAAATTATTTAAATCTTTTTTGCAGTCATTACCTTCAAAATCATGATTACCATCTACTGCATTTACTGGCCATTTCAGAACTTGGTGATTTGTATCCATGTTTCTATAGGTAAACTGTGATTTATGGTCTTCTTTTGGTGGTGTGGGCTCTATTTCACTATCTGAACTTTCATTCCAAAAAGTATGATCTTCATCTGTTTTTTCAAAAAGGTGATTTAGCTCTGTTTCTTGAATATCTTCAATTTTCCCAGTAGAATCAAGCAATGAAAGCATTTGTGTCAAAGTATACTGAGTGCAATCTTCATCTTTTCTTTTATCATCACCTTGGTTATGTACAGCATCAGTTAAAATATTTTTAAGATGCAATTTCGAATTGCTTTGAGTCAAAGTATTATATGATGCATTGTTTCCCACCAAATTTCCTGCCATTGGATAGACTTTTCCTTCCTCTTTTGTTTCAGTCTTATGTTTTTTCAAGAGGTTACTTTTTTCATCATCTATTATACGTTTTTTGTTTAGTTGCTCTTTTAAAGATTTACAACTACTTTCAGGAACAACTTCTTTTACTTTTAATGATAAAGTAGATAAAGATTCTAGTTTGTCTTGAATATTTCTTGTACTTGAAGATAATTGTTCTAATATTGAATTAGAGTCACTATCAAACATAGAATCAATTTCTGGCTTTTGATCTTGATTTGTAATTACTGATGGTAAAGGACAGCCATCCAAATTATTCAAATTTTTAGGGTAATTTTCAAAATTTGCTGATAAATCAAAGTCAATATCAAAAGCAAGAGATTTTAGAGTTGAATTATCATTACTAGATACTGTATTAATAAATTTTGACTCAGTATGTTTATTGTCGAAACAATGAAACGAAACATCAAGAGAAGATGGAAATAATTTCTTAGATGAATCAGGGGATGATGCCAGATTGCAACTTAACTGATTTTTAATAGAAGTACTAAATTTTCCATTAACAGAAAGAGTGCTTTTAAGTTCTTTTGTTTTCCTTATCAATTTAGCTTTCATTTTCTTATTTAAAATACGCAGTTTTGTTAAATTTCTATTTTCTTTACGAATAAATTGATTAATTTTTACATTTGAAAGGTCACTGATAAATGACATATTTGTTGCTGATGAAGGTGGTGGTAAAACGCAAACAGAAACTGATTGCTTCAGACATGATTCATTATAGTCAAAACCAAACAATCTTTTCAATAAGGGACTTTTGTCTATATTGCCAGATGCACAGGTGGAAGATATATTTGACTTAGCTAGAAATTCAAAAGCCTCACCAAAATCCTCTTCAAAGTTCTCACTATTATTAAATTCAACATGATCTATAATCAAATTTTTTGGTTCATTAATTTCAACTGCATTTGCTTCACATTCATTGAAAATAAAATCATTTGAACCACTTATATCACCTTTGAATGCACTGGTTTCTAAAATGTTTATATTATTTTGTGGCGAAAGTTTCAAGAAATTTAGATTGTTTTCATTATTAACAGACATTTCAAAACCTGAAGAAATAGCACGTTGCATAAGGTCTACTAAAACATCTGTTGCTTCAGAATGTTCAATTTTATGTGTTCTATGAGGTACAATTTGCAGAAGCGTCCATTTTGAAAGAGAGAGTTTTGTTTTTAATGAATCTTTGCTGAATTCAGTTGAGACTTCCTTTTCAGTCTAAAATAAATACAATAATATATCATTTACTGAATTAATAAATATGTAAAAAAGAACAAAAGACATAAATTTGAAATGAAGTTATTATTATTTTATTAAAAAAGAAGTTGAATTCTTAAATTTTTATTTGTCAAATAATATATATATATATATATATTGACAAATATAAATATAAGCCATTATTCTTAAAGCAAGTACATATTTTATATTTAAATAATCCCTTCTTTAAATTAAATGAATTGTAAACAAGTTAAATACTGACACCAATGCTACCTTTTTGGATCGTAAATCTGATGAGTTTTTAAAATTTCTACCCAAGGCGTTCATAAAATTAGATGCTATTGAGAAGCTAATACAATACAGCATTATGTAGTTAACGATTCTTGAATTAAACTCATGAAGGCGGTTTTGAGAGGCCTCTTATATCACAATGTCCAGTACATGAGAAAAAACAGAAACTTCTTGATGAGGGATATAATATCACAATTTAGAGTGTGTTCCTATATACCGGTTTTGTACCCAAGAGCCCATGCCTTTATTTCATATATAGCTCACAAACAGACCTGGTACCGAAAGAATTTATGACATTTCTAATCTCTCAGGTTTCGACATCATTGTCAAATCTTACAAATTCAAACATGGAGTGGTACAGTGCCACAACTGTCAGCATTCTTCTTATGTGAAATGTGGTCTTAATAATAAAAATTTTGAGCAAAATGGATCTAAGATTTTAAATTCTGCAACTTTACAGTTTCATGCTACTAACTATCGGAAATGTCCTAAAACCCCTCTGAACAGGAAATAAGCACATTCTGAAAAGTCTACAGTGCTCACAACAACTAGTCAGACACCAAATCCTCCATAGACAATTATACTACCTTACTTGAAAATCCTACAGAATCTGTTAAGTTAACAAAGTTTAGGGAGAATAATGATCAGGAAATTAAATAAACAGACATTCTAACTGATAAGAAGTTCCAAAGTTAGCGAAAATGAGTAACAATAACAATGTAAACATCAATGAAGCCCTTTTTATTTCCTAAAGATAATAAAAGAAACTAACAATGCATTTTATCCTTGACTAATTTAAACTATTTCTGGATGAATGCACAAAATTTATAGTGCCCCAGCACCAACAGATAAACATTCTGCAGTCTTTAACAACTTTGAAGATGTGTATTTTAGTTTCTCAGTGTACTTTTGCAAATACTGTTTTCTGCTTCCTTTATTATTTAATTTACATTATTTTCCTTAAAAGTTTCATACTTCTTTATAAGGGAATTTTCTTTTTAGAAGGGAAGACAAGGGGAAAAATAAAAATTAATAATTCCCTCATGTTAAATTTAATAGAAAATATAAATTTATAAAAAATATAGAAAAACCAAATTTATGTTATTCAATACTAACCTGAAAGCATTTTTGATTTTTCAATGAGATACAATCTGACTTGGGCAATAAGCATTCATTACTTGTTGATACTCGAAAATTAGTATTATATTCAGTCAATTCTTCTTTAGATAAGAAAGCTTCACCTTTATATTTTCCTAAAAGAGAAAAAAAGCATGGTAAAAGCTAATATAATATTTAATAAACACTCTGGAGTACTGGAGTAGGTAGAACAGCACTAAGAATGTGAGATTGAAGCCTTATTCACTTGAATAAAAAAGATTTAAGTAGAGTTAAAAATATATATATATATATATATATATATATGTTTTCACTAAACAACAACTTGAGATAGAAAATAAACCTATCACAGTCTCTTACCTTTGGTACTAACAGGCTTTTAGATTCAACATCTACTTTAGTCATCACACAAGTAGGAGTAATTCCAGGAGGGATTAATGATGGGCTTTTTCTGATAAAACTGAGCAAATGAAAATCCTTTTGTTATTGCTCGGTTAACTGATTTTTTTTTATATTCACAACTACTGTACATCTAAAAAAAAAAAAAAAAAAAAAAAAAAAAAAAAAAAAAAAAAAGGAGAGAGAGAGAGTACAAATTAGCTATAAAGTGAATTGAGAATAAATTATGTATAACTAGTTAAATGGATAATACTAGCACATCACTGAGTTTCCCTTTGAAATGCAAAGAAGGTTGGTTGGGGATTCCAAAAAACTTCTTTAAGAGTATTATTTATATTTTACTGCCATTCATTTATCATTTAAAGCCAAATAACAGCAAATTAAAAAATTCATTCAGCAAATCAAAAAGTAATTATCATTAAAGTAAGATAAAAAATTAAAATGTAGGCACAAAACACTTTCTTTAGGGGGGGAAAGGGTAAATGATATAACACATTCTTCCAAAAAAAAAATTAAAATAGATATAAATAAATAAATAAAAAGAAAATGCACGTACCTATTATTCTATGGAAAAAATTCTATAACTCTTTTGTCTAATTAAATTATATATTAATACAGTTGTAAATTTATTTGTTCTCTCCAGGTTGTTCCCCAAATTAAGTTTCAATACAAAATGCACTGCATAATATTTTTCATATTTTTAAACTAAAAAAAAAACACAGGCAGTTATAATTAATTTAGTTCATACTCAATAATTAAGAAAGGTTTGGTTGCACCACGAATATAACTTTGAATACTATTTATTGTGCACAAAACGAAAACCTAATCATAATAAAAAGTAGCTTCATGTGCATTGATGATCTTCTAAACTGCCCACCAGTGGTGGAGTGATAAAGTTGCCAAACACAGGTAGTTTGATACGGGTTTCAGTTCTGGTGAACATGCTGGCCGCATGGGAGTTTTCATGGTTTTCTTCATGTGTAACATGGATATAAGCCAGTTTTCTTTAACACATCCCTCCTCTTAGACAGACAGGCCTCAAGTTGCTTTGCCTTACTTAATAAATCCATTGTAATCTGTTAATGATCTTCTAAGAAATGCCTATGAGAATAACTGAACACTGGCCTGCAAAACTGAATAAGCCTAAAAATGAAGAAGCCTGCCTGCCACTAATTTACTTTGACTTCACTGACTCAGATTATCCTTTCAAAGACAGCACTTCAAAAACAGAAAATGTGTCTGTCCTTCAAGAACAAAATGAGAATTATGTAAGTGATAAGGCATCTCTTTACAGAATGACTTTAACAAATCCCAGGAAAGATCAATCAAGTCATGCGAGGCCTTCCACAAATCGAGAAGTATAAAAATTTGCATTACGAATTCTCAGTGTAACTATCCATATGTACTGTGAAATTGGAAACTCAACTTGGTAATACTTAATTTTTATTTGAAGCTGTATAGCACACAGACACAAACAAAATGGCTTATCCAAAGGGAGATCACAACTGATGTTAAGTTCAACTAAATGCACTTGCTTCAGATTTTCTTTTCATGCACCTCAGAGCAGAAACTTCAAAAAAATTTTTTGAAGAAATTTTTTCTAAAATAGCCAGAACTTTCTCAACTTAATCATTTTAAAAATCACAAAAGTTTTTGTATTAATTAATACAAAACTAAGTAATTAATACAGATCCACTAAAAAATAAAAGTAATTAATACACATCCCTCCACAAGAAGTATGATAATTTTTTAATAATTAGATACTTAATAAAATATAAAAAATTATGATTTAGAAACATAAAAGAATATTTTGAATGATGTGTAATATTTTATATGTCCATCTAAAGGCATTTAGCTTCATTATTTATAATACATATTTTTCATCAAAGAAATTATTAATGCTGTAAGTAAAGAAAAACTAAAATTAGGGGATATAAGCTAGTTTAAAGCAACATTCTTAATCAATTATACATTTTAAATTTGAAATAACTCTTTAAGAATGTTTAAAATGGTAAAATTCAGTTTATTAAAAGGAGGTTGCTTATGAGACTAAATATATTCCTTCTTATGAACTAAAACAATCTGTTAAAAAAAATTACTTACTTGCTCTTCTTTCCCTTCTCCTATTAAAATAATAATTCGTCCTTTTCTGAGTCTTCCTGTCCGGCCCATACGCTGAATTAGCCGAATTGGTGACTTTGGGCAATCATAACAAACAATTAAATCAACTTCTCCTATATCAAGTCCTTCTTCACCTACACATGTTGACACCAATGTATTGTAACCCCCAGAACGAAACTGTGCTATTACCTAAAATTTAAATTTGATTACATACACATATATATAGCTTATATAACGTATATAGTACATAAAGGGGTTGTTTTTCATAGATTATCCTGCACATTAAATAAATTGGGTCTTGTTAACTGGAAGTAAAAAAAAAAAAAAAAAAAAAAAAAAAAAAAATAAAAAAAAAAATAAAATAAAATAAAGCCTAATCTGCCACTTTTATTTTATTAACAAAGAACCAACACTTTTCAAGACGTATTACAGCACATTTGCATGAAGCCTTTCTACTTTTAACTATATGTTTTTCATTATTTCCTCTGCTTTTTCCAGATGTAATTTGTTTATGGCCAACCTTGGTGGCCATTTTTTTCCAACAAGCACCAACATCTCACAGTTTCACTGGATGTTTCTGAGATTGGCCTCCCTTTTTCCCATGAGTTCAAACTATAGAATTTGGCAACCTGCCCTTTCATGTGCATATCAGTCAAAGAAATGTTCACAATTTTTTGAGCTTCTTAATAGACTACAAATGTAAGTTTTTATATTTTCATTCCTATAATTCTCTTGTTCATTCATTCAATATAATTCATTCATTTTAGCATGCTTTGTTTTAAACTGTCCAGATCATAATTTAATGACAATTGTAAATTCTCCTTTTTTCAGCTATAGCAGGTTTTAAGCGTTAAGAGTTTAGATATTTATGTTCATAAATCAGCTCTTTTTTAATTGTGTGTTAATGCATTTGAAACTTTCTATGATTTAAATGAATAACATTTTTGAATGTATTTGCGTGAAGTTTTCTTCTTTCAGAAAGCATTGATTTCATATTTTTAGCTCAAAGAGCAGTAGCCCAGCAAAGGCTATTAATTTCGTTTTGGCATTTTGCATCAAATTACTATAAACGGCATATCAGTTTTCAAATTGTTGCCACCAAATGTTAGAACCCTGCATTAAATTTAAAGAAATTAAATAATGAAGAATTTGCATAAATATATGTATGTTTCTTGCATTCTGATAAAAAAATGGCATCTAGAGCCATCAAATTTTGAATAAGGTATGTCTCCACCCGAATATAGGTATCTGGAAGCCCTAATTTGGAATTTGTTTTATTATCTATTTCATATTTTGTAAAACGTTAACGAATTTTTGATTAAAAAATCTCAATGATTTCAAAGTGAGCAATGGCGACACTGACCCCCCCCCAAAAAAAAATTATCTCCAGAGCATGTGAGACTGTGTATTGGAAGTTTTAAAGATATGCTCTTTTAAAATTATTTTGTGATAATGCCGTTGAATTGTATTTGATGCTTTAAGTGCAAAGTACATGATATTTAAATACGGTTATTAGACATATAATATTGCAAACAAGAGCAATTAATTTACAACAGTTAAGAGTCACAACGTCAAGAAGAATGAAACATGTTATTTGGCACTCAATAATCGACCCCGTTTAATGTTTTAAACACTAACTGTTGAAAAGTTCTGTTTGAAGCATTAAACAAAGTGAGAATAGTTAATTAGTATAATTTATTTTTTTAATTTCTATACTTTCACTAATTCTTACATTTTTCTAGCTTTAATAACAATTTAAGGTTTCCATTTCAGGCTTAAAAAATTTTCACTGCAAGTTAACAAGGCACAGTTTATTTACCCTACGCATTATTCTCCGGGATAACCTATTAAAAAATAATTAATTTTTGTAGTAAAACCGTTTATTTCAAACCTTGGCTTAATTTATGAGTTAAATGTTTATTCTTTATAGTATACATATATAATTTAAGAAAGAATAACAAACTAAAAAAGACCTGTGTGGTCAAGAATTTTGCGCATTGAGCTGCAAAATTAGAAAACAAGGTAAAAAAGAAAATTTTTCATGCTATTGCTTTAAAGCAAATGTGATAGTGTGGTTCCTGTGAATAATTTTTAACACTAAGTTAAAATAAATTGCAATTAAAAGTTAAAATACAAGATAAATGAAATTATAACAAGAAAACTGACAAATAAAAAGTGAATGTAAAACTCAGTTCAAATTTAAATGTTAAAAAATGTTGATTAAAGTCTAAACAATTATAAAACATTTAAACATAAACACAAAAGTTATTTAAGACATGAGCAAAAATACAAAGAAGCGGTAAATAGTAAGCCTAATTCGAATCTCATTACGGACTTTTCAGGGGAAATGCACAATGATCTTCGAATCCAGCTAATTCCATATCGCGTTTCGTCAAAACAGAAGAACTGAGACTGAACACAAAATAACTTTTGACTATTAAACCTACAAAATAACCTATTAAAACTTAAGTCTCAATTCCTTTGCTTTATTTCCCGACACGTCCGCTGGTTAAAAGTAAATGAGAAACATATTAATGGTGTAAGAAAAAACTATACAGACTAGCCTGGTTAGGCAAATGTACAGAACATAATAAACAGTGAATTGCTATTCGTCAATAATACAAGATTTTTAGGGAGGACCTATTAGCTTAAAGAGTTAAAATTTAGTAAAAGAAGGAAAAAAACTTTTAAAATTTAAAATTAAAAGCATATCAAATTAAGTCTTGCTATGACCAAAATTAAAACAACTAAGAAAAATCTAAAACAAACCTTAATCTGTGAAAAGCTATGAGCTAAAATTGTCTCTTGCCTCCAGAAAAGATAAGAATTTAGCTTACCAATAAGGTGGGACGATGTAAAAGGGAAAGAAATGTCATGAAGCTATGGCCAATGAAATGTAACAGACAGTTGGCACAACCTGACTCAGGAAGCCCGGGGGAAGGGGGGGGTTAATGGTCAAAGATGGTAGAACTTCTTTCAAACCCAATATATTTATACAGTCAAAAGTTGTTAATTTGGACACCCATAATCCGGACCTCAAAGCTAAAAACTTTCTGCGCATGCGCTGCGTTGACATAGGCGTTTATGCGTGCGCGTAAGACCTTTTACGACTGCGCATATGCGTGTGCGCAAGTGCCGAATACGTTTTCGCGTGCGCGTTTTATGTATAACGGACGGTGTAAGCTAAAATTATCTAATTATCTATTTCAGTTAATGTTGATCATTGCGTTGTTCCTTAATTTTCGAATTGGATCCGGCTTATTATTTTTTGCAGACTGTACGAGCAATACTATAAAAGTAAACTTGAACTTTCGATTATGTCAACTAGAATTTCCGATTCTGGAGCTCTCAAAGGATTGTACAAAACAAAAGTATGTTTCGATGTCCATCAAACAAAAAGTGGAATTGCTGCAAAAAATGGACAAAGACATAAAGAATGTGACAGAGAGGTTAGTGAAAACGAAAAAATTTCGATTGACAAGTTAGTCGGTATTCTCGACACAGCAATTATCGGGACTTGAACAGCGGAACTTTGTAACTAAACAAGAAATTATGTCTGTTTAATAGAATTGAAGAGAAAGTATTATCACATGAAACGAAGCAACTTAAACAACCTACATTGAAAGAAATGTTTAATAAAGTAAACAAATAAATATTAAGCTCTTTCTTTTTGTAAATTTTGATACCCTTTAGATCATAATTGTTCTTTATTTCATAAATTACGGTTTCATATTTATAATTTTGTAATTTCTGCATGCCATCTTACCAGATTTAAACTGATGATCTATAATCCGGAATCGCCGAAGTCCCGACGAGTCCGGATTAACGACTTTTGACTGTATTTTGTTCTACAAGAAAGCTGCTCTTTAAATACTTAAATTTTACCACCTTAAAAGACTGAATAGTGTTTTAATTTTATAAAATAAAGCTAATATCAGAATGAAAAAGAATGTGATAATTTTGAAGATAACCCAGAGAAGAGATAAAAAAGTACATAAATGATTAAAAATATTGTACTATTCTTTAAGATGAACAGAAAAGTTGGAAACTTATAACATAATTAGAAAATAATTTCGCCAACTTAATTTTAAATATTGAATTAATATTTTGTAGTAAATCAGAAATTAAAGCAACAGTTTTGAATCAGATTAAGGACAGTTTTAATATAGTAACCAATTATGATAAATCACAAAAAGTTCCTAATTATTAGTACACATCATTCTCAGTTATTAAACTGTTTTCATATTAATATCAATTGAAATTCCTATTCTTACATATTAATGACTTGCAAAAGATCTTTTAAATAAATAAGCCAAATCAAAAGGAAAATTTAAATTATTATAGCTTCATACAATTACAAATTTTATGAAACAACTAAAAAATGTCTTAAAGCAGAACGAAAAAAATTCTAATTCAGATTTGGAAACATTTAAAAGAATTATTAAACTACAGCCAAAAAGGAGAAAAAGCATTAACAGAGCATTCTAGGAAAATTAGGAAAATACGTCTCAGAGTCTAGAAAACATATGTTCTGGAATTCTCCAAAATATCATTAGCTAGTGAAAAATCATCAAAGTTGAGTAAATTTGCAACAAGATATATCAAAATACCTGTATTTCATAATAATACTAATTATAATAAATTTGAAACCTTTCAGATTTTATATTATGCCCAAAGGGGCATTTAAAAAATATTTTGTGTGTTACCTTTATTTATTAAATATCATATTCTTTGCATCTAAACCACATAAAATTCATTTCAACAGCAAGATCACAAAATATTTAAAAACAGCATATCTTTAGAATTTCCAATAGACAGTTTCGTGTGCTGAAGATAAAAATCTTTTTTTCTGTACAGTTTTGTTGTTGCTCGTATTGAAATCGTTGAGTTTGTTAATAGAAAAATTCTCTGGCATCCAGGTGCTCATGTTCGGGTGGAGGATTACATTACTCAAAATCTGATGGCTCTAGGTATACTGTTGTTTTTTTCACAATGCGAGAAACATACATACATGCATGCAGATTCTTCATTACTTAATTTGGTACTCTTCTGTTATCAGGACTGTATTCAGAAATGTGGGAATATATGCATGTACAGTCAAAAGTCGTTAATTCGGACACCCATAATCCGGAATGATCTATAATCCGGACCTCAAAGCTAAAAACTTTCTGCGCATGCGCCGCGTTGGCACATGCGCACAGGCATTTTACGTGTGCGCGTAAGACCTTGACTACTGCGCATATGCGTGTGCGCAAGTGCAGAATACGTTTTCGCCTGCGCGTTTAATGTATAACGGACGGTGTAAGCTAAAATTACCTAATTAGCTATTTCAGTTAATGTTAATGATTGCGTTGTTCCTTAATCTTCGAATTGGATCCCGCTTATTATTTTTTGCAGACTGTAAGAGCAATTTTATAAAAGTAAACTTGAACTTTCGATTATGTCAAAAAGAATTTCCGATGCTGGAACTTCCAAAGGATCTACAAAACGAAAGTATGTTTCGATGTCCAACAAACAAAAAGTGGAATTACTGCAAAAAATGGATAAAGACATGAAGAATGTGACAGAGAAGTTAGTGAAAATGAAAAAATTTCGATTGACAAGTTAGTCGGTATTCTCGGCACAGCAATTAACGAGACTTGAACAGCGGAACTTTATAACTGAACAAGAAATTATGTCTTTTTATAGAATTAAAGAGAAAGTATTATCACATAAAATGAAGCAACTTAAACAACTTACATTGAGAGAAATGTTTAATAAAGTAAACAAATAAATATTAAGCTTTTTTTTTTTGTAAATTTTGATACCCTTTAGATCATAATTGTTCTTTATTTCATAAATTACGGTTTCATATTTTTAATTTTAGAATTTCTGCATGCCATCTTACGAGATTTAAACTGATGATCTATAATCCGGAAAAATCGATAATCCGGAATCGCCGAAGTCCCAACGAGTCCGGATTAACGACTTTTGACTGTATATGTGTACATACATATGCATGTGTATGTATATACACACACTAACATACTCGTATATATATCTATACATATGTTCGTACATTCCCACCTTTCTGCATCCGGTCCTGATAACAGAAGAGTATCTTTAATTTCTTTAAAGTTTTACAAAATATAAAATAGATAATAAAACAAATTCAGAATTCGGGCATCCAGGTGGGTGCCCATGTTCAGGAGGAGAATTACTTTATTCAAAATCTGATGGCTCCATGTACTGTCGTTTTTTTTTTTCACAATGCGAGAAACATACATACATTCAAGCAGATTTTTCATTATTAAATTTCCTTAAATATAATACAGGGCAATACTATTTGAAAAGTGAAATGTACATTTACAGTGAAGCAATGCAAAATACTGTTTCAAAACTATTAATAGCCCTTCTGGCCTTCCCCTTTGTGCTACAAATAGTTACTTAACAGATGCTGTATGTTTTTTTAAAATATCTTTTTACACTACAAAATAAAACCAACTATAAATATAAAAAACTTAAACAAGCGATATATTTAGAAACAATCTCTCTTTTAAATAAAAGGGTTGACATATATAAAATACGGAATTTCTATAGTGCTGCAAAATGAAATAATTTTTAAAAGAATTACAATAACTACCATATTTGACGGCATATAAGACGCACCCTTATTTAGAAGGCCACACACATGTAGATGTAGAAAAAGTTATGTGTGTCTAGACCTTTATCAGGGCTAAAAATAGCATTCAGTATTGAAAGTTAACCTGTGTCCTTCACGTATAAGATGCAGGTAACTTTTTTTGAGACCAAATTTAGAAAAAAAAGTGAGTCTTATATGGCGTCAAATATGGTAATCAATATCGAGAAAAGGAGCATAAATTTTTCAACAGAAAATATAACAATCCATTTTCAATTTAGTTATTCAGAACTAATTTTGAACATTTTATATTGCCTAAGACTTGTCAGTTTAAATATTAATAAAATTATGAATAATTGCTCATGCGCATTTACTAATTCATAAAAGAAGAAAATACAGCATTATTATGTTCATTTAAGTAAAATATATTACCTTTAACTGATGCTTTTGTGAATATCCAGCATTTGATAGAGATTTGGTTGCTTGACCAATAAAGCTCATAGCTTTTATCATAGGTTGATGGCGATTCAGCATCTCTACAATTTCCTGGACACTGTCCCTATACTGTGAAAACACCATAACCCTTGTACCTTGGGCAGAATCTGAAATGAAAGCAAATATGCAGGAACATTTTAGCTACAGGATGTTATAAAATATTGTATGTATATATAAATTTTAGCCATAACCACTTTTCTTTTTAAATGCAATTAAAAAGATAAAATCATCTACATGTATACATATGCAGCATTTGTGTACATATAAGCATACATCTTCTGAACATATAAGCATACATCAACATTTGTTTTATAGAAATTAAAAAATACACTTCTAGAAAATTAATCTTGTTTAATTTCCAGTTAAAACAGTAGCCTTCATATTTTGCTGACTCATAAAACTATAATTTTTATTTTAAGGAATCTCCTAAAAAAACATTGAAAATATACCAATATCAAGCACATTTTTTAACAGAAAATAAAAATAAAATCATTATTTCATTATGATTTTGCTCATAACAATAGATCTATTACATTTTGGAAACTGGGCCCACCAGCGGTGAAGCGGTAAAGTCGCTGAATACTGGCAGTTTGGTCCGAGGTTCGAATTCTGTGAACAGGCTGGCTACATGGGTGTTTTTGTGGTTTTCGCCCAAGTCTAGCATGTATAGAAGCCAGTTTCTCTTAGAAAGTCCTCCACAAAAGCATTCCTCCCTTTAGGCAGATAGCCCTCAAGGTTTTGCCATAATCATATAAACCAAACTAAACCATTTTGGAAATAATAACATAGCTGTTAACATTGATATATGAAAAACCTGGAGATCACCAGCCAAAAACCAGGAGTTTCCAGAACGTTTTCATGCTGCGCCGCAGAACCATTTTATAAGAACTCAAAATTGATTTAAATTCATTTCAAAACGCATGATTTAATTTAATCACTCATTTATAAAATGAATCTGATCTAAAATATATTAATTACGTATTCTAAGTTTTATATTCTTTACCTATCTCATGTCATAATTTTCTTGCACTTTTATACAGAGAAAATTTTGAGTAGTGAAGGTAATCTATAATTTATTAAAGTACTTGTACTTTTAAACATGATAAAAATAAAATTAATAATTAATGCGCATACTATTGTGTGGGTAAACTTAGTAATACCCCATACATTTATAAGATACTTTATCCCTCCTTACCGCATAACTTTGTGATGTAACTGGAAGAACATTTCGCTAGCAATCAGGAGGTCCGAACTTCAAATCCTAGCGAAGGCATTACACATTTTTCAAGTCTTCTGGAATCTAAAAATCAAAACATCACTCTACAGTGATATAAACGAAAATGTGCTGGGTGGTAATTTGTCACCATCAGGATCTGGCAAATAGTTATGGTTGGCAATCAGACGGTCCATAGTTCAAATCCTGGTTCCTATTTTTCAAACTTTCTGTTCCTAAACTGTTACTGATTAAACACTTCTTCACAAATCTTCACACACAAATTTTCACAAATGTCTACAGTAGTTCCATAAATATCTGCAGTACATTAAGACCAATCAGATCAAATAAAATTTAATAAGAAACATTTTTTCTGAAAATCTCTAGGAATGGGGGAATGAAAGTTGCCCAACTTAAGCTTCATAAATTCAATAATGGAACAAACTGTGCAAATTTTATTTGCACAATTTAATTTTACTGGTGAAAACAGCTTCTTTAATAAAGGCTAAAAATTAAAAAAACTGGGAGATTTGGTTATCTAGCAGGAGACTGGGAGATGAGTCAAACTGAGAGTTGGTAGCTATGCAGTAACAATAAAAATTAAACAAATTTTATTTAGTTAACCATTTTAGATTTTTTTGCAGAATATATATTAGAATTTTTAGTACTCTTGCATTATCTACTCAACCTTCTCGCAAAGTTGTCAATCATTAGCAACTAATTTTCTGCCAGCATAACACGTGAAAAACAGCAGCCATTTTAAAGAATAGTGCTGCATTGAAATTATATGCAACAGCAATGAATTAATGAAATTAAAAATGGAGGAAAAAAAACACTGAATGAAACACTCAAAATTCCACACTAAAAATAAAATATCCACAATGAAACACTCAAAATTACACAAAATAGCAACAAATTAACTAAATTAAAAACACAACAAACATCCATAATAAAACCCTTAACATTCCTTTTTTCCCAATCTTTTGTCCATGTGCATAGCAATATGATTTAACTTAAAAAGAATCACATAACTGCAGAATTCTTAGAATTGAAGAGCAAACTGGCACTGTTCTTCACATACACTTTTGGGAAAAAAAAAAAAAAAAAAAAAGTTGCACAAAGTAACTTCATGTAATGCTCCTTTCTACGATTAAGTAAAACACCATATTTCTGGGAGGGGATGAAACACTTTCTTCTCATTAGCAGCCAAGCTCCACAGTGGGATTATGATTCTTTGCAAGGGAAGGGGGGGACTTCACTAAACAAACAAACAAACAAAAAAAAAAAAAAAAAAAAAAAAAAAAAAAAAACTATAAATATGACCCTCAAATTTTAAAAACATGTACATTACCACCACCATTGAGATAAATGGTGGCATTACCTATTAGCGCAATCTGCGTGGAAGCATTTGTGGGTTACCAGATGAATACATTTTCATAAAATTCTGGATTGCTTTGGCGACACAGCGTTTTGCCCAGTGACTATTGTCAGGGTTTGGCAGATAATACGATAGAATTCAAATAGCTTTTATTGTTCAGAATAATGCTACATACATTCACAGAATTGCTTATTTCATTAGGCAATTATGGACATTAAATTTTAAAGGTATTAAAGATTTCATATTCTGTGAAATGGAAACATTCTAAACACTGGCTACTTGGGAGGTCATGTAGACAATAAATTAAAGTCTTAAATTTTATGCGATGTCAGTACTTGCTAAATTGAACAGGATGATTTGTTATTGGTGCAACAAATGTACAGGAGATGTAGGGGGCACAAATATGAATTGGAATCACACAGCATTGCAGGGTCGGAAATGACTTCATCATGCAGTATAAGGCACTGAACAGGAGGTTGAGTGAACAGCAATTATGTTGGAAGTCCGTTTTAGAGGCAAAAGGATGGACGATTATTCAAATGTTGAAATGGCTGACCCGCACCTCACACTGTGCTAGTGCTGTGGATGGCAATGAGTGCACCACTCTGTGTGTACCAGAAACGTTTCCCGCACAGGCATGCTCCTCATCATACGATCTTCGCACATCTGCACAGAAGGTTATACTAAACCAGTTGTTTCATTAGACCTACCATGAAATGAGAGCAAATGACGAAGATACCAGACAATGAGGAGAATGTCCTATGTCTGGCAATTTGAGTACGAGTACGAATACTTGAGTGATAGCCCAACAATTGGGTTTGTCTAAATCCATTGTATGGAGGATACTGGATCAGATGTGCTTATACCATCTGCAATGCGTCAAAGCATTGGAGCCTGTGGATTATCCACTATGCAGGGATTTTGCTACTTGGTATCTTCAACAGAGTGCAGCAGAGAGCACATTTGCTGCGTCCATATTTTTCAAGGATGAGGCATTTTTCACAAGATAGAGAGCCTTCAATCAACATAATGCCCATTTATGGGCTTTGGATAATCCCATGGTACACGAACACCTCTAGCTCAAAGTCGTTTCTCTGTCGGTGTTTTCAGTTGTTGCGTTGCTCAGTGCTCAGTGTGGTTTCAGCATATGGGGCTGCCCCACACTACTATAGTGATGTCTGCCACACCTAAATGTTACATTTGAACAGCATTGGAGAGGTCATGGTGCTCCGGTTCATTAGCCTGTCAAGATTGCAGGAGCTATCATGCCTGGACTTCTTCTGCAATCAAATTAAGGCATTGGTGTCTGAGATTCCCGTTGACTCAGTTGAAGACCAAATTGCATGTAAAACATGTAATAAATTGAATTCTGTTACACTAACATGTTTCTGTTCTTTTTCTTTGCTTCTTTTAACTGCAGCTTGGGTGGAAGACATTTTGGACCCTGAAAATGTTATGTGACTTTTTATCATCTTTGTACCCCCTACATCTCCTATAAGTTTGTCCCACTGGTAGCGAAATTACCCTGTATGAGCATGGTAGTGTAATTTAACATAATAAAATGTAATGGTCTAAAATTTTTAGAAAGACTTCAAATTCTTCTAATATCAAAAAGTGTTTGTTCATTAAATCAACATGTTTACCAAATACTCAACAGCTTCACTTAAAACTATTCAAATAATCTTTAATGCTTGTTTTCTTCATACTTAAAAAATTAGGTACTTAACTTATTTGAAGTTCATGGCAGAATGCGATAACAAAAAAAGGTTAGAGTTCTAATAACATGATGGAATATAAATTAGTAATTCAAGTCAATAAAATTCTATTCTTAAAATATTTCAAAATCTTTTAAGCCAGATCAAAAACAAATTATTCTAACAAAGTATATATAATACACATCATCATAAATATCTTTTATTAATTACAATGTATTTATATCAATCAAATATATAACTAAAAATAAAATTATTTAAATCTTTGAGAAATGCCTTTGTTGCTTTTTAGGTGCTCAATTTGTTATGTAGTGACAGACAGTTTAAATTAAAAAGATAAATTAAAGGTTTTACATTTTGCAAAATTGCAATAATCTAGACATAGTTATAAGAAAGAGGCAAGAAAGATAAATCAAATACTTTATGTTTTCCATAGTAGCAACAGCTAATTTAGACAGATTTTTAAACTAAAATCTATTAACTAAAATTTTTAAACTGAAACCCATAAAAACTGTTGCTTTCCAGCATTCATTAAAGCTGCTCATCACTACTGACCTACATGTTAAGGATTGTTTGAAGTCAACTAAGGTACGGAATAATGTAGTAAATTTAGATATATCATACAATTAAACTTTAGGATAGTGACTCCCATTAAGCCTTTTGGTCACCAGTGCAGTTTGAAAGTAATCAGCGATCAACTCATAAATCATCACCCACAGATCACCAAAAGAGGCAATAGAGTAAATTTGGATACAGTTTTAAAATAAACCGACAGATTCTGGCACAAGTCAAAGCAATTGGTTA